GCTTTCGAGGCGGGCAGATTTATCTGGGTTTAGGGTTTAGGGTTCAGGGTTTGGGTTGAGGGTTCAGGGTTTAGGGTTTAGGGTTCAGGGTTTAGGGTTTAGGGTTTAGGGCTCAGGGTTCTGGGTTTAGGGTTTAGGGTTTAGGGTTCAGGTTTTGGGGTTTAGGGTTTAGGGGCTTCGGTAACCCCAACTCCCAAAAAACCAGGACCCTATAACCATCATATGATAGTCATAGGGTCCTAATTTTGTGGGTTCGGGTTACCAAAATCCCTTTATGACACGAATGTAGAATAATAGTAATTTTCTTGGCTCTGTTACTTGGTTTCTGGCCATAAGTTTAACTACTTTCGGGGTGCAGGTAGCAATCTTGAAAGGGTTACGTTAAGGTTTTTGGGCTTTAGGGGTCCAATTAATATGAGGGGTTGGTTCAGGGTTCTCGGAGTATGTAGGGGGTTTCTAGAGTGCCTGGGGTTCCAGGGTTTTGGGTCTGGGGTTTTGGGTTGGGCTCTTTGGCATGTTTGCACGTCAATTCATGCGATCCTTGCAGGTTCATGACGCAGGCCCTGCCTTGATAAAGGGTAACATAGGTTATATTACAGTTATATCGGGATAATGGAAAAGAAAATGGAAACTACTATATTATAATGGGGTTTATATAGGGGGAAAGTGGGGGTTATATTGGGAGAATGGAAAATAAAATGGAAACTACTATTTAGGGTTTAGGGTTTTCTGGCTTGGGGGGCCAGGGTTGTTGGCAAGCAGCGGATGTCCTGGTCATCTGGACTATTTTGGGGTGTTGAAAGGAACCGTGGCTTATGCAGAGAGTATGCCCCGCATGGACGACCAGAGTCAAGAGTTCAAGTGAAATGTCAGGTGAGCTTGTGCGGGGAAGGCATTTGAGTTCGTCCCTTAGGGGGTTCATAACTTAGAAATGATAATACTAATGATGGTAATAATAGTAATAGTAGTAATACTAGCAAGCATAGTAATAATAGTAGTGATAGTAATAATGGTAATAACAGTAATTATAGCAACAATGGTAATATTCGTAATAATAGTAATTGTAGTTATAATCGTAATTAAGCAGATTGGAGGACTCCGGCTTCAGGATTGGGTACAGTAATTTTGATAAATTCTCATACTTTACTCCACCCCAACATGGGTTTAGGGATTTAGGGGTTTTAGGGCTTTAGGGTTGAGGGTTCTATTGACATTCGTGGACTCAGGGGACACACGCTCCTAGCCTTGGTTTTGAAAAACGCTTGAACGGAGATAGGAGCCCTAGAGTTGCCCCCTATATAATCCTCAATTTATAAGATAGTTTTCATCATCCTGTGCATTCCTTCATTCCCTCCTGGAAAGATTAGGTCCTAGGTGAACAAGAAGAATTGTGCAAGTCGATTCCACGGATAATTGTTTTTTCACGCGTCACTCCCGACCCGTATCGCTTTGGCCCTGTAAGTGGCCAAGCCGCCAGCAGGCGAAGACACTTTTGTGGGATTCTCCATGTTCTTTGCGCGCGCGAGCGTGATAGCCGATGAGATAAGCAAACTGCTTGATGGAAGCTGAGCGCCGGCGCCATGGCTGTTTAGATTTTGGGAACGAGGATTCGAGTGCGCAGATCTTGGGATTAGGCTTCCGGTTCATGTTGTGGAGAGGGTTGTGAATTAAGACTTGGTGTTCGAGTTCGCCGGCAGCGTTGCCAGGGAGGGAAGGGCATAGTTCTCCTTCTTTCAAGCAGGGATGTCATAGCGAACACATGCATTAAAGTCTGGGTTTAAACATACTGTAGTCTTTAGAAGTCCACTTCTGCTTACATGTGTACTTGGAGGAACGTTATGTGGACCTGACGGACATGCATAACCCAAATTCAAGTATCCCCATTGGCCGACGTTGCCCGACATACTGGACCTCCACTGTTCGCCAGTACTCTTTGTCTAAGCCGCACGCAAACTCCCACACGCTCGATACGGTTTCAAGAAACTTCTGCGTAGGGTGTTATTCTGTGGAGCAATGGGCTAGTTCTTGCAAGTCGTGCATTTCTGTCAAAGTTTTTGTTTTTTCGTAGGGCAGGCTCAATCCCAAACAGATTAGGCCCTCGACCTCAGGAACTCAGTTCAATGAAATCGTACGGCCGCAGCAATTTCTGCAAAGTTTTGAGGATTTCGCATCCATGTCTGTCAAGATTTGAGGATTTCAGAATATTATCCGTGCAAAACCTTTACATGAAATTGTGATTGTCCTTATTGAGGCCACTAGTCAGGAACAGTTCCTGACTAACAGGTTCCCATTTCGCAGTGAAGGGCGAAGCTGGAAATGGCTTCCATGATGCCTTGGCCGTGCCTATCCACCGTAAACCCTAAACCCTAATCCTTAAGCCTGAATGCCGTTGCTAAACCCTAAACCCTAAACCCCTAAACCCTAACTCCTAAACCCTAAACCCAAATTCTAAACCCTAAACCCTACACCCTAGAACCTGTTGGCCTGCGCAGGCTTTCCGCAGATCTTCCTGCAGCTTCCTCCGTACGAATTATCTCCCTGAGCTTGCATGGGTTTAGGGTTTAGCGTTTAGGATTTAGTCAGGATTTAGATGGATTTAGGGTTTAGGGTTCGGGGTTGAAATTTTAAGATGTAGGGAGCCTGTAATCAGCTCTTCCAACTAAGAACCTCCCCCCGAACACCCTAACATCAAATACATCCTTTAAAATCCTGACATTCTATTTGAGGTGTGCTTGCTGGAGGACTGTGGGATGTTACTGTTACCCCTAGGCCCTAAATGATTTCTACTACAATATATTTTATATATCTTCAGAAACGCCCGGGGACGGGATTGCATTCGTCTCGGGGCCTCTGTCGGGCTAGCACTTCTTACCTCCTGGGTCTCACGAAATGACCTTGAGATTCCTGAGATCCCAAAAGGTATTCTTTAGAGGCTTGGTTTAAGGTTTAGGGTTGGAGGACCCCAACGCTTGTGTATTCTTTTGCAGATTGTGGGTTTGCAAGGTCTCTTCTTTTCGTTAAAATTGTTACAATAAACCCTAAACCCTAAATAGTAGTTTCCATTTTCTTTTCCATTATCCCTATATCACCCCTATATAATATAACCCCAATATGACCCTAATATAGGTGTGA